GAATGGAGTGAACCACAGTGTTTTAAAGGAGATACCTCCTCTTAACATGACGCAGTGGAAGAGGAGTACGGAGCACTGCTTGTGATACACAGCTGCACCTACGAGTGAGGAGCTTTTTTAATTTATTTCCTTGGAAATAACTGTACACAGTTTTCAAGGCATAAAGTTTCTAATTGGTTATTCAATACAAAACAGTGAGACTTCCCAAGAAATATTTTTCCAAGACTGATAAGCAACGATCAGCCTACTTGGCACGAAGTCAGCTCTTTCCCCAATCTGCCAGCACTACCAAGAAGACAAAGACTTCTTCCTTTATTTGTAAAAGTCAGAACTGAAGATGTTCGTTAATCCCTGGTCATTCTTTATCATCATCCTTGGTTCTCACTTGGAATAATTTAAGCTCTCAAAACAGCAGACTAATTGCAAACAACAGTTATCACATAAAACTTTTACTCTGAAATGTTTTACAATGACTTTTGTGACAACCGAAAACCTACAAAGCTCTTGTTAAAGTGCATGCTACCAAATTGCTTTTAGATAATTTGAGTTTTCAGCTCAACGCTTACTTGTTCTAAAGACAACACTAAAAAAGGTGTTACAGATCTCCAAGAAATAATGAAAGAAGAGGAAGAAAGAGGAGGAAGCTTAAAGATTAACAAGAAATCTTTGATTTTCTTTAAATCTTGGCAAATTCTAAGTGAAATTCTAAAGGTTTTTATGAATCTAGCATGCCTCAGTTCCGCCTCAGGGTAATTATCCACATTCAGTTATTGTTTAAAAAAAAAAAAAAATCTTCCTAGCCTTATCACAGCTTCCTACTGCTCTGCATCTGGTGCTGGTCAGTAGCTATAGAAACCACTTGTACTGATGTTATACAGCTATAAACAACACTGAGCAGTTTCCAAATCAGGGACAACAGGGTCATATCCAGGAACAGACACTGTTAGATTCAGTAGGAAAAATTCTACATCAGTAACAACTCTGGAGTGTCTGTGCGACATGGAAATGCTGGACCAATTCAGCGTGGCAGATTTGTATGCCCGATGTTCCACAGTCCTTTCAGGGGCAGTCCTATGCTCTGAGTTTGTCCAGTTAAGTTTTCTGTTTCATCTTGCTACATAATTTCTACGTGTCTCTCTTAGCCCTTGTCCATTACAGATCTCTCCTTTCATATCTTTTTTAAGAAGTCCTGATTAGAAACTTCAGAACTAGGTAGCATTTACCAGCCAAATAGATACCATATATTTCTGTAAGACAGCCAGCAGAGGAATGAAACAAGTAATTCAGCAATAGCTGAAATAATTCAGCATGGGGAAATCAACAAGCCTCAGAAAACAGAAAGCTAGACATATTGTTGTAAAGAAGGAGAACACCAAACAACCCTACAGTTAAACACTGTTAGTAAGTCCATCCCTTCTGAAAATAGTTGGTTGACCACCAGATATAGATTCCCAAGAACCCTTGTGGTAATAATGCTGTAAGTTTTTATACTCCAGTTTTCCTGTTGATTAACCACTTACCAGTTATTTGACATTTACGTAAAAAAATAATGATCACAATTCAGATATAGGTGGCAAGGATTGAGACCTTTTCATCTTACATAACTCTATTTTTAAAGGCTTCTGAAAAAATAAACCAGTACAATGGAAGGTACATTTTCATTTGATTTGGGCTGGAAGAATTGGTTCAAACCTCGTCTGACCTTAAGCAGAACTGGACTCCTATAAGATCACAGCTGACAGACGTTACAACATGAATCTACTTGGCCAACAGCTTCTCATTTTTCCACTACCACTGTACTTCAGTTCTTAAATATGAATGTCTACAGTCTCTAGAGAGCTGGACTTGTGTTTTTACCACTTCAAAAAAACCCTCCTTTCCTAGTTCAATGAGGGTAGACTCACAGACAGTCCTGCCCATTTGTTCCTCTCCCATTCCACACTCCTGTTCTTCACTTCTCCAATTCTTCTGCCTCTAGACTTTTAGAAGACTAGAAACGACTAGCTGGCTACCCTCTACAACAACTGCCTTTATTGTTATCACTATAATTTAAGACTAGGGAGGAGGGGAGTTACTAATGACCACCACGACTGTCCAAAAAAAGCCTTAAATGTTAAAAAAAACCCAACTCTTCTGCTCATATTGTGCACATGCTGGAAAAGTCTATTCATATCAACACTGTGTTCAGTAAGAAATCTTTTCCAGTTGGCACAATTTCATCGTGAACTTAAATAGAACAGACTAGATGCTTTCAAGACAGTGAGTTATATATCACCTTTCGGATGTTTTTAATCCGACATTCACGCTCCTCATGCTTATGATTAATTATGGTAGATCAATACTTCAACTGGATATACTCATTTTTCACATTCATTTTGGTCTCTGTTATATTCCAAGCACAACCAAACTGCAACACGGATTTCACGTAACTGATTGAATTCATCTCCAGTTGAGAGTTTAGAGTGTTAATAACGAAATCAAATTTGCTGTGAAATCATCAGCTCATTACTGGTGCCAAACACTGGAGAAACTGAAGGACTGCATAATGACACTACATGATCTGTAAAACTTCTTTAACCACTTTTGAGTACTACATTAAGCTGAATTAAAAGGCATTTGTGAGTGCCTGTTACAAACAAGTTTAGTAAAGCAGACAGGAACTGTCTGGAAACATAAACGGTTGTATATTCATAAAAATTCACTCTTCCATTTGGGAAAAGGAAAATGGCCACAGCTCCAACGACTGAATTTTATTATCATATCTGGTAAGTCAGAAGTATCCAGTATAACACAGGAAAAAACATGTTCCGGGTAAGGGACATGTTTCCAGGTGGGGAAATCTTAGGTAGTTGATCACCAAACAAAACCTAAACCAAGCAGGTACTAGCTAAGGAGTCAGTATGTATCTTGTTGATTGGACAGATTTTGCATCATCAGAAACAGTACATGGGTTCTGGTATTTTTAAGTTATCTAAAAGACATCTGGAGTCCTGAGTGTAAACATCTGCACAGTTTTATCTAAGCAATAAGCCTGCCAACTAGACTCAGGTGCTCAGAGCTAAGCATTTCCAGACATGTACCTGTCAAGACATGAAGAACAGGTGATGCACAAAACAAGAATAACAAATGATGGAACTCTATTCACATAAGGGTGGATACATTTTTTAAATTAGAACATGTTATCCGACAGCACCAGCAATAATAAAACTCCTGCAGAAAACCTCCATGAACACCCTGAGATGTAAATGTCAAAAACTTTGATAATTTACCCTCTTCGTTCACTACAGATGAAGTTAGCAGCTCTGGCTCTGGACTCCACATACAGTGTTCTAAAAAATTTAGGTGTTGCTTGAGAATCTCAGTCATCATTAGCATCATGAACACAGTACTGAAATTCTGCTATGCTATTAGTGCAAGCACCATGCAGACACAGCAGTCTGACTAACTCCCGTCATTTAAAACAGCTCTTCCAACTCATAAGGAATGTTCTAAAAACACTTGCCCACCATTTGTGTGTGTTTTCATTAAGAATTTGCTTCACCTTTGTTTAGCATCTCTTAACAGTATTAGGTCAGAGAAGCAGTAAAAACAGAAAGGAGACGTGAATGTAGTACTCCCTGGTTTCAATGCCTCAGGAGAGGCACTTAGCATGTCCCAAACCAAAAAAAACCCCCACGACATGCTTCACTGTACTTACGCCACAGCTACATATTATTTCTAAAAGCTAAAAAAGTACCACTCTAAAAATTAAGTAACATTAGTTAGTATTGAATATGGTTTACCTGTACTGTCAGACCCACCAAAGCATTTAATATTTACCTGGGCACCAAATTACACTTTGGAATCAATGGGAACACTTGGGCATCACTGCGGATGGGATTCAGAGTTCAGTTTTCCAAGAAAAGCATATGCAACTTTCACAAGTAACTCTAAGTTCAAAGATCTCTTTCACACTATCAAGCAGCTCATCCAGGATGAAAAGTTTACCAAATACCAAGGAAAAGACTGAAACCAGAATGGTCCCTTAAATCACGATCCAATTTACTTTAAAGAAATGTGTGGCAATTTTACAAAAGCTCTCTCATCATAAAAAAACTCAAGTACAATAGAAATAAGGATCAAATGCTGAATAGCACAAACTTCTCATTAATGCAATAGCTACTCTTTTACATAATACAATCAAGAATTCAAGCCTACCTTGTATTCTTTCACTTTTTCCATGGTTATCAGGCGCCTCGATGTGTGGCTAGAAAGCATCTGCTCACAGTTGCTAATAAGTTTCAGGCACGGGTGGCAGGGAATGATCTCTTCTGTGTATCTGGAAGAAATAAACATTCAAAGAGCTGCAAGCTCACGAACTGGAACAGTTACATCTGAAACAAAATTCAAACAGATTCTTCACAAAATGGCTTACGCTATGAAGTTGCTATGCGTTTTAATCTGATTAAAGAAATTCAGGTATTGACGCTCCAGAGTTTTTATATCACATATTCCAATCATCTTGGGACATAAAACATGTAGAATAAATTAAAACCTCACAATGAAGTGACTTAAACACACATTTTTGACATGAATTTACATGATAGTAACGTATGCACACAGGCCTGCCACTATCATATCAAGTAGAAAATATCTCAGTCAATTGGGAGTAATAACTTATCCAATCAGCAGCTGTGATTTTAAAAATGTATTCCACAGTCAACATATATAAAGTCGCAGGAACAAGAGACTTAATTCTGGCTCCCTAAAAGGAGACCATTACACGTCAATGCCAAACCATATTAAACCAGCTCTTAGAAGACAGTGACATTCCTGGAGTTCAGAATTTGGTGTTATAAATGTATCATATTGTAATTACTTTTCTAAAGGGAAGGAAAAAAATCCATTATCTTTTTAACATCAGACGGTAGCAACACTGGCTTGCAACTAAATCCTGTCTACAGGAGAACACAGTTACGGTATTTTAAATGTTCCCATCCCATAAGCACACTATCTTCTATAGAAACAGCTTTCTCTAGATTGCTTTCAATCCTTCTGTTTCTCCAAATGCTGAAAGAGGAATTTAAGGATTTAAGAGCTTTGCATGGGACTAGAGGAGCAAGAAGTACTGACCTAGCTAATAAGATAAATATGGGATCAGACATCCTTCCTATACGCTGAAATATAGATCAGCTATTTAGTCTTAGTTTGTGTAAAACTTTCCTGTAATAGTTACTACAACATCATCCAGGACATGGTACACGTCACTGTCAGTGACCATGATAACAAAATGCTTGTGGATGAACAGAAGCCAAACATTACAGAGCAGAACTAAAAAACTTTTGCACCTATCACTTGAACTGAAAAGACACAAAGGAGGAGCTTCGTATTTTTCCTGTAAAGAAGTGGATTTCCTGAAAGCACTTTGCAAAGCAAATGTATCGTTCTGGGAGAAAGAGAAGTCAAATCCAACACAACTCAAAACAAGATCCATCTGGGTGCTGATGGAAATCTTGACATTTCTTAAAGACACAAGTGAGCTGATAAACAAGTAAGACAATACCAAATACAGCCTTGTAAATAGATTTCATTTCATAGATTTAATTTCATAGATTTCTAGGTTGGAAAAGACCTTAGAGATCATCGAGTCCAACTGTCCCTAATCCCCACTAAACCATATCGCTAAGTAGATCATCCACCCTATTCGTAAACACATCCAGGGATGGGGACTCAACCACCTCCCTGGGCAGCCTATTCCAGTGGCTGACAACCCTTTCAGAGAAGAAATACTTCCTAACATCCAACCTCAATCTCCCCTGACTAAGCTTATAACCATTTCCTCTTGTTCTATCACCCAACACTAATGTAAAGAGCCCTTCCCCCACCTCCCCACCATCCCTTCTCAAGTATTTGTAGGCTGCAATCAGGTCTCCCCTCAGCCTCCTCTTCTCCAGGCTAAACATAGGAAAAAAACCAAACTGTACTGCCTCTTTGCACTGTTCCAAAACTTCCAGATCGCAAAACAACATTTCAGGTACTTCTCGTGTGAAATCAAGTCACCTCTTCTGCTAGGTGAAGTCAGAACATGCTTTTGACAAAGGAGAATCAAATTAATTATCTTTTTCTTTTCTATTACACAAGACTTTTGATGCAGCTAGTACCACCAAACGGCCTCTCTCTCTTACAAAGGTAGGCACTCTGCCACAACATCTTAAAAGTTTCTTTATAACCATATAAAAGCCTGACTGCAAAGGAATTAAAAGAATTCAGACTCAACAACGATTTCAATGTCAGATTGAAAGAGTAAACTTAGGAGTGAGATGCTATCTTGCAGAGCAAGAGATCATTATCACTTTGTTAAAAAGTCTTGTCTGTTAGCATCAATACATATATTTCTACATTCTTTCAGGTAAAACTCAGAACATTGTCAAATAAGAAATATAGTAGCAGTGGTTTTAACAGACATCCATTTTAATTCAGTTTTGTTTATATGGAAATACACAAAGATGTCAAAAAACACGTGAACCTGATGGCAGGTGTTGCCAGGGGTTATTCGATAGCACAACATATTAGTAGACAGTGTTTTATCTTCCTCCCACATACTTGCTTTAATGTTTGTTCCTGTGTTCATCCTTATAGCTGAAAATAAAGTGACTTGCCAACATAGTGACTTCAGTATTTCAATCTTCATTGGATAAAGCCAATTCATAGCAGTACGTACAAATTCATTTTTTAAGAGGCAACCCAACTAGAGCTTGAGAGAGTTGACCTCCCCAAATCAGCAACTAAAGTAGAACCTGAATGTGCAGTTCACAGTTATCTAATACTGCTTTTACCATTGTCCAATGAGCAAACAAAAAGCCCTAGTATCTTGACAAATAGAATAAACTCAGTAATTCCAAATAGAGTTTATTGAAATGGAAATCTAAGAATTCACAACCACACACTGTCTGTCAGGGTTAAGCATGTATAAACAGACATTTTGAACAATTAGCTAAAATACTGTTAATGGCATTCATTGTTTTGTGTGTGAATAGTCTTACAAGAAAAATAGCCTAAGATACCACTTCTATCATGAAAAAAAAGCAAGCTAATAAGGGCGCTCTTCTATTATGGAAGCATGTAACAAAAATAGCTCCTTTTGAAATCCAAGTTTTCAAAACAGGATTTGATAATTAAATGTAGGACTGTCACAAGCCATTTCCATGGTGAAAACAGGGACAACAACCACTTTATATATCAGTATAGTTTGACTGCACATAGAAACATATGACATTGTAGAAGCTACCTTCAGAGCACATCTACATCTGGAAGACACTTAGATACAGCTACTGTACATCAACTCCCCACTTTACTAAGAAACAGTTTTGGGGAAGAAGAAGAAAAAAAAAAAATCAAAAAAAACCCCCACACAACCCAAAAAACCACCCCCCTCAAAACCTTATCTACAGATGCTGAAGTAAGGTACGTAAACAGATGTCTTTCCTTTTAAACCTAGTTCTAACCCCAGGCTGCACTACTGAGCAGACATCATCCTGCATCTCTGCTGGCCTCTCTCATCCTTAACAGGGCTACTCCCCTACGCTTCCTGCCTCTCACTGCCATCTCTTCGTCACTTTACTTTTGATTCCTCAGAAGAAAGCTAAATTAGTGGTGCCAAACCCCCAAGAGAGCCAAGAATGTTCTCTTACAGGACCCTGTCATGCACCTCTATCAACTGCTCTAGTAGAAATGCATATTAATAAAAGCCTTACTACTACTATCTTAGAAATCTATTGGCACCTTGACAGTCTCGTTTTCTAGAGCTTAAACCTCAACCCATTGAATATGTATTTGCAAGGACATGTGAAGGCTTTTTTCTTTTTTGGTAATAGTCAGGAGTTATCTCTACCCAAAAACCTCATTTCAAAATCTGCTTTCCCTCACATGAAGTTTTAAAATATGAAGTCTGAGCATTACTCTTAAGTGCTAGTACTATGGACTCTGCTCCACAACAAAGCACAGTGAGAATGCAGCATCTGTTCTGACATACTACATACCAGAAATCAAGAATACATACTCAGGTCTGTATATCGGCAGCCAGTAAACTAATCTTCCTCCCATCACCAGATATTCTGCCGCAAACTTCAATAGGTCAAAAAAGATGTCACTTAGATGATAACTGGACGAAACAAAGACGTGGTTTTCTGTGCTAAACAAGAAATTTTCCAGCATGAACATAAAAGCACACACAAAACCTGCATTCTTCATTTAAAAAACCCCAACCAGAACATCCAAACGACAACAGCACTATCTGAGACTCGCAAAATTACTTAGGACAATCCATGAGTACAACTTTTACTATGAGGAATATGACTTCCCAAATTCTCCTATTGGTTCTTTAGACTATTGTCTTTAAGTACTTGTGGAAGTCAAAGAATCACAAGCATTTTGCACAACATCTTTCTTAAGGGCAATTTAGAGCAAAAGGCAGACGACAAGGAAGGCCAGGCAGTGGAGAAGCCATGTATTATTTCTGAAGAGAAAGGAGCCGTGGAAATCCAAGACAGAAGGTTAAGGTAAAATAGAGGTACTCCATTTTAGACTGATTTTGCAGCTTGCAAGGATTGAGAACTGAGAATAGGAAACACAAGGTAATGGTGGCTCACAGAGAAAAGAAATAGGATTTGAAATCCGAACACATGCAAATGATAAGCAGAGAGAATAAAACCAAGAGCATTTCAGGACATGACATGCTAGTTTTGCAAACCAAACAAAAAGGTTTTTTCTTCTTTAATTATTATTACTATTATTTTTTTAACTGCTGACAGCCAACCAGGAAATAATAAAGACTCTAAAACTGTAACTGGGTTTCCATTAAGACATTTACATTCCACAACAGACAAGACAGCTTACTTACCTTCTTTCAGCTGATTTAACTGTTTCCTTTTGTGAACCCATTCTGCGAGTAGCTTCTCTGATACCATATGGTGCTACGGAAAGCAAACACATAATGCAGGGATGAGAACCTCGCCCTTCGTCCAAATAACACACAATTATATTACACATATACAACAGTGCACTACTGTGGCTTATACAAAGCTAAAAAAAAAAAAAGCTTTTACAAAGTAAAAGTCGGTAAGGGTAATTTCTTCAAGATCTATTAAAAGTTTCTTGCTCTAACAGGTTACTTTAAAACTGTTTCAAAGAAAGCCCTTCAGCTGTAAGGGGCTTCTAGCAGCCTAGACGTTTGATACGTTACAAAGGACAATGCTTTTCTGTTTTGTTCATTAAAAGATATTTCTCATATTTCCAATATGTGACAAATAATCCCATCCTCTTTTATTTGACAGACACAGACATCTTCCCTATAGGACTTAGCTAACTTTTTTCAAAATGAAATTGTATATATCAAAATTTCTTGCTAACACAGCATTACACAAATGGTAATTCTCACACAGAGAGGTAAGAAGAGCCAGAGATGGCTTTTTCTTATACATTTTTGCACATTTCTCATAGCAGAACATACTTATTTCATGTTCAACACATTTGTTTTTGTGAGACTTGTTTCAGCATCATGGAAGCACCAGTATCACCATTTTGTAAATGCAGAAGTTGTGACATAATTTGCAAACTCAGTTCTAAGTCACATTAACATTCTACATTGTCTTACTGCCAACAGGCCAAATAAAAACTAGCAGGCAACCCACAAAGAGAAGTCACACTCCCTATTTCTAATTAATATGAATGAGTCATCATAACAGCCAGCCCTAGAGATCAGAAATTGCTGTATCGAGGTCTCTTATTCCCTTAGCCTCTACTCCCTTCTCATGCACGACAAACGGTGTTAAGTATACAGGTTTCTAAAAAAGCAGAGGACCCTTTCAAACCGCTAGTGCTTTGAGCAGTTACGTGTATCAGAAATGCATTAAAACTTCTCTTTGAAAGCATTCCAATAAGCACTTATGAACATAAGTCTTCAGAAGTCCATTGGAGCTGCGTGGCAGACTCCAGTGTGTCGCAAATTAAGTCCTAACAGCAGCATGGACCATTCTGGTAAGAAGTCTCTGTGCATCAATAAAGTTATGCCTTTATTGAATGAGACTTCTTCAAAGGATGACTTTCAGCCATATTGATTGGTACTGGTGAACATAATATTCTCTCCACGGAAGAAGTATTCTTGCCAGCCTTGTTACACATTTATAACTATCCTTAAAATAAACGCAGAGACGTCAAACGCGTTGCTCTCAAGAGCCATCTTTTGAAATATGGAAACTGCAGATCTGAGCACTCATCAAGACATTAAATCAATGTACTGAGGCACAGACGTAGGCAATAATCCTTATTATTATTAGGCAACAAAAAGCATTAACAAACTTACGATCTGTAACGATTGCATCAAAGAGCATTCCTTTTCGCCATATTGGCCTTGAAGAATCAGCAACTAGTGCATCAAGGTAATATTTCTCTAACCCATACTGTCGGAGATTAGCTCTGATATTTTCATCTGGCCCTCTCCATTTCTGGTTCTTTCTGCTTGCCTTGCCTGGGGCGGTGGGGCATGGAACGGAAAAAAAACATATTCGACAACAAATTATTTTATAGGAAAAGCTTTCATATACTCTATCATTTATTTTAAAGGAAAATAATTAAATGTCCAAAACCAGAGTTTATCTCCCACTTTATTCTACTGTCACAAGTACTTGCAATAATCTTCAGAAGTAGCAAGGAATAATGAAAACAGATGAGAAACGTTCTGCTGCACCAACAGCATAGAGTGTCACAGAACACATTTATAAAAACATTGGTTTGTAAGATGTTTCCACTATCGACCAGTCAAAATTCTGTCCAGTAAGTCAGATACAATCTGCACTGCAGTTTTTCAGAGAAGTAAGGATGGGATGAGACTTCCTGGGTTAGGTTACGAGAAGCTTCCTACACCACAGGCTAAGAAAGCACACAGCTGTTGTAATCATTATTCAGAAGTTTGTTTTCATTTTCTTTATTCCTTTTATTAAACACTTCCTGCTTAAGAGAGAACAGCTTAGCTAGGATACATGTAAATTGGTCAATAAAAATATGCATGACCAAATAAATCCTGTGAAGAATAACGTTGCTTTAAAATCCACTATCATCCGCTACCATCAGTATTCCTAAATTCCAGAGATTAAGATTTCAGTGGCCTAGAAATATCTAACATACCTAATCCATGGATTGTGTTGTAATCTATGTCAGCACCACACACATATGCTCCGAAGTGTGCTGAGGAGATCAGAAGGCCACCTGTAACAGGAGAAAAGGGGAAAAGTATAAAGTGCTGTCGCAAATGCTATCTGCGTTAGGATTTTTTGCTCAGGCACTTCAGGAGTTTACACCAGTAGCACACTAGACCCAAGGAAAAAAAAAAAAAGAAAAAACTACCAACCAGTTAGAATCACTACACAACTACAATCAGAGATAATAACATCAAGTGCCTTGTCTGCTACACTTTATCTTCCTTATCCTGCTATGCCCTATGTCACTCTCCATCTCTGGAAACCGTTCTTAGGAGTTTGTTTACGTTTTTCTGTATTTCAAGGCAGTAAGATCCTTTAATCATTACATGAACCAAAACTTCTAGTTCTACTTTGCAAGCAGCAGAATTCCACATTGTTGGCAAACAATTTGAAAAATCATTCCCAAACGAAAGGCAATGCTACTCTGCCTGTTCTCAGTCTCCTTAACTGCGTCTAAAACCACTTGTTGTATAATGTGGCCATTCCCTGAGTAAGAAGCAATAGTCAAGGCCTCTGTAGATGTAAATATCTCCAATGTAAACAGCAATGTCAAAAAAGTTTCTGTAATGGTTTTGCAGTGTGAAAGCCACACATGGGTGCGTTTTTTTCCTGTATGCCACCTATTTTGTTACCACATTTATTGCAGTACTCATCCATTACAACTAATTTTTTTAACCACTACTATCATGATCTGCTTTCCTAATTAAAAAACCCCACAAACTACCAAAAAACCATATGTGATTTCCCTTTGAAACTGGGCAATGGTTAAATAGCCCACAGAAAGCAGCAAATGATATTCTCTAACAGCTTCCAAATGAAAAAAATGACGGACAGCAGAAAATTACCAAAGAGCTGTGCTGTCAGTAAGGAGGTATGTAGCGATCAGAATGGTTTAAAGCAGAACAATGAATAAGAACAAGGCTGTGAACCCGACACTACAGATGTCAACTGCTTATGGATGCAGTCCTACTAAAATAAAGGGGATGATTGCTGCAGGACAAAGAGTTGACCAGCACAGGGAACAACACGCAAGCTGGCTGTGTGGGTGACATCAGTTCTCCTATTCACCAGCAGCGTGGAGAGGAGCATCTCAGGTGGCTGCAGTGCCCCACGTCACCCACTCAGTACCAACAAATCCCTAACACGCACTGCATGCACAGGCTAAAGATCCCACCTCAGGGCACTAGAAAAATCCTATGTCATATTTTAATGAACTCTACCAAAACTGAAGGCGAGGAAGAAAAAAAAAAAAAAGAAACCAAAACCAACTCCCCTGCTTTTTCTTGTGAAATGGATCAGGGAAAAGCAAGGTTACTCACCCCAGAGGAGTCACCCATTTCCCTTCTCGGCTGCAATCCCTCAGAACAGATGGGCAGTACCTCCAGAGGGTCAAGACAAATTTAGCTAGCCCTGACCCCAAGTATGGCATACCACCCAGTCCTATAAAAAAAGTAAGAAGAAAGTACTTTGCCCATCTAAGAATGTTTTTAATCACAGGGAAAAAAAAAAAAAGTTAGGAAAACATGAACTTACAGCGTTTAATAAATCTCAGCTGATACTAGTTTAATTACGCTCACACAGAAGGTGCATGAATACTTAAATACTCTAATATGGCCAGCCCTTTGACCTGCTATATCAAACAGGTGTATACAAAGGGTTAATCAAAGAATCACTGTGTCCTCTGATGACTAGTAGCAGAATGATGACAGCACAGAATTTCATGTCTTTCTATCATACACTATTTCCCCCATCTCTTCAGCACAGATGAGGGTCTGGTCATACCACTGTCCTCCAGGATGTCAAAGAAAAGATTCCCGTCATTTGCAATTATGTAGCGTCACAAAATGGCAAAGTGAAAGTAGGGACAAACATCTTCTAAAGGTACAAACAATAAGCTTACTGAGATAAACCAGGACAGATTGTCTAGGAGGAAGTACAAAGTACTCAGGTAAAAGACTTGATTTATTCTTCCAGAAACCTCCAGGCTTCCTTCTGCCCAACACTGAGAGAAGAATATCTAAACAGTTTACCGAAGTTACATTTTACAACTCAAAACAATCCTGGCCATTCCAGTTGTGCTTTACAAAACAGGGGAATCAAGTCTCCTAAACCAGCCTGGTCAAAAGCACTTTTCATTCCAAGGACAAATTCCAATTGTCCACTCTTAAACTAATGTGGAAGACTTATGATTTGGCTCACCCAGCAAAAACAGTTTGTTTCCAACAAGTAAGCACCATTTTGCAAGATCATTTTAATCTGGTTACCTTTCCAGCTTAAAAAACAGGAAGAAACCACGCCAGGTATTAAAGTTGCACGAATAAAGAAATCTGAACTGCAGTTTCTTCAAAGTACTCCTCAAATCCTGAATATAAGTTCTTTCCAAACCCATCAGCTCAAACCCACTGTATCATTCTCGACTCTGAGCTACTTCCCAAAATTCCAGTGGCAGGGCACTGTTGCACTGACAATCTTGAAAATCCTCTAAAAGACCTCAAGATACTATTGAAATTCCTAGGTTTTATTCACCAAAAGTAGGTGTAAAAGCCACTGTTTAGTTTTTTAGTCATAAATACACTTTACAGACAAATGGTGTGCCACCCAACACTTCCAGTGTCCCTGTGTACCTTGAATCTCAAGCCTGTATATTACAGATGTCTAGTAAATAAAACCACAAAAATTGCAATTCAAATCATTAGGCAATTTGGGGAGAATTTTGTATATGTTACACTTTTGAACAGAAACACAACATTTTTCTTGCATTTCTACAGCTTCGCCACTCATGTGATTTCTCTTCCTCTAACTTTACCTTTCCTTTTTTTTTTCTTTGATTTTCACTCCCAAGAGAATTAATGCTCTCAGAGATTTTTTTGTGATTTAACTTTAGCAGATTTTTGTTAAAAGACACAAACCATAGACACTGAAATGAAACAAAGAACTTAAGAGAAGAACTAGAGGAACTTCCTTAACCCTTCAAAGAGTACTACCCATCTGCAAGGAACGTAAGCACAAGGAGGAGAAGGAAATTTCGTAAGACGTTATTATGGATGCAAAAAATCAGGTCATACATGAACAAAAATTTCAGACAAAAACATACAGTTCACTGAAGTCTTGCGTTTCTGAAAATATTCTATCCCTGGTCTGTTATCTATGGTACAGACAAGCCACACGCTAATAAGAATTTGTCCTGCTAGTGACCCTGTAGTGTTGTCTTCTCTCTCCCTAACTTCTCTGCAGTGATTTCTGCAGTAAATTCCCTTCATCCTCCCATTAACGTAAGTATTTTTAACTGTATGTGTCTCATGTGGCCTTCTTGATCAGAGTTTAGCAAAATCCAGATCAGAAACACAGACTTTGTTATGCTTTTGAAGAAACTACTGTAGATAGGTTAACACAATATACTCCTGTATGATTAAATGGCACAACCTGACACGACAGATCTTCTACTTCACCTACAAAACAGCCGAGTTTCCCTTGGGCAACAAGCACTCCTATGCCACACACAGTAATACGTGGAATAAAAGCTCCCCCTCCTGGATCAACTCAGAAAAGTTCAGCGGGGAGCAAACGCATGGTGTGAACAGCATTATCCTGAAGACAAGACCTGATGGTACAAGGAACTATGGAATGCTATGACCTAACTATTGCTACGTTGCGTTATATGCCCAGAAGCACCCTCAGCACTCCTCTAAACAGCCACCTCCACAAATGCTGCTCCTTGTAACATTTGGAAAGCGGCTGCAAGGAGTACTCTAGCCAAATTTCAGTTCTTAGTCACTTTGGATCTTAAGCAGTCCATGACACACATGAACTGCTGTTTAAGCCATGTTATATAATATAATACAGTGAAGACAGACTTGTCAGAAGTGTAAAAAAAAAATGTTTACATCTTCTGAAATTAGTCTCCTTCCCCCAAAATCCCTCTCGAGTTAACAAAACCTTAATTTTATAATCACCATTTTATCATCTCAAATGTCAGTCGAGCATTAGAAGCCGCTGTGCCAGGTAAAAGCATGGTGCGAGCAGTAACACCATCTCCCTGTTTTCCCCACCAGTAGGAAAAAAAAAAATATATATATACCTGTCCCAACAAACGGATCATATACAACATCATCGGGTTTTACTCTCCCATGGTTTGCCATAATGAAAGACAGGCAGGCATCCATGCTAGTATTTCCAATAAAGTGTCTCTTTTTTACACTGTAGGACTCGATAAGTTCTCTTTGGCCATCTGCAATCTGTCGAAACATTTAAAATCACTGTCAGGTCTTACATACAAGATATAAGCAGACGGACTAACAGACATGCTTCAGTGACAACATCCAACAGACAGGAAATCTTCATTTCATAACACATCGCTTTGCTTTCTGTCATCTGAAAATATGACAGACTTCTTTCCAAGCAACAGATACTTTGGTTCAACACCTAGATAATTTCTTCAAAACAGACGTCAAAAATATACAAGCAATTTAGAAGGAAAATTGTTCTGAAAAAAATAACAATTAGAGCAACTTTGCTATTATTCTAGGTAACAGAAAAACAACTCCTGGAAATTCAGAGTTAAATGAATTTCAAAACAATGAGGAGTACGTTAACACACGTGTGCACATACACACACACGCTCAAGGTCTCACAGAATTTCCATCCTCACTGGCTTTTCTGACACGCTCAGAATTTAAATGTACGATAGTGTTCATAGATCAGAATTTACTGAAAAAACAAAGACCAAATGCTAACATTTTTACATCAGACTTCCAAAATATGTTGAAGAGGACCAAAGCAGTTTGGAAGAAAACACGTTCAAAAGCTCTTCCAACACTATTCCCCAGCTCCAGTCAACATCAGTCTTACTGGATAAACAAAATACACTGGCCTATTTTTTTTCAGGTTGGTTTACTCATTTTTAAACACTTCAGGAATCCAGCACAGATGGGACAACAGCTGCAATGTTTTGCAGTATTGCCACAACCCAGGGTGCTTTCCATTAATCACAGGCATGGAGAATATTCACAGGTGCTAACCGCTCAGCTGGATCTCAAACTTCTCTGCATATAGTCCCTGACCATATCTGTAGAATCTCAGCAGCGCTTCTCCCTCCTTACAGCTGCCCTTGACCTAGGACATCGCAAGCACGTATTCTCATCAGTGGCTGGTGTCATTCCTGAAGATGTCCTTTGGAGAGCCACTTTTTCCTCACAAGAAATGAAAGACCACATCGTATTTCCTCAGGATATCCTAATAACACAGCAGGTTTGGAGGGCATACGCCCAACAGGCAAGCAAGTTTGTAGTAAAGAGCTCAGATGACAAGCTTGTTTTTGAATGTGGTTCCTACTGTAATGTCAGCATCTCTTCGGGCAAGAATCCACCTGTGGGTTGGACCAGCTGATGTGCAAAGCCCCAGGGATTTGTCTGTGCCTTTCTGTGGAGGTGCCTGACAGGACCACTTGAAGCACTTACCCAATGCTCCAGTGGGGCTGATGCAACTCAGCGGGGCTGCAAGCCATCCACAGTTCCTGTGAATCTGCCGTCCTGTTCAAAACCAGCTGCTGGTGCTTTCAGCTCCATCTGGGCCTGCATTCATGTAACACACCACCAGAGCTGTGCAATCTCACTGCTGTGTGGAGCTCCCTTAGTGCAGGGCTAGATGAGGTGTGTTCCCAGATACAGCTTCACTTTCTTCCATCTCTAAATTGCTCAAATAACCTGTTCTTTCCTGGTCACAATACAGACGTTCCAAGACTCGCATCAGTGTATTATGCAGTGACAGATTCAGCCATGATGATACTGTCTGCTTCCATTAAAACTCAATACAATTTTTTACATTCAAATTGAAGAACACTTTCCTGAGAATACAAGCTCATAAGAATTGAAGCAAGCATACTCACGCACCCATCTACCAAAATACAGATGAAAGGGCTCTTCTGGAACGTTATTAGGGTCCATTCCATAATCTTCCAAAATCCAGAAGATGTGTTCTGGATTCTTTAAATTCACTTTTCCTTTGAATGGCAGAAATTCAAGGGCCTATACAATACAGAAAAACAGAGTCAAAAAAAACAGGGTCAAATTTTTGAAATACACATCCCATAAAAAAATAAGAAAAAACAAAACACAAACATCACATCTCCACTTGTAAGAAATTGTAGATTAGTACTAAGAGTACATTCTCAATTTTGTCTGGATTTCTGAAATGCCTTTCTTGTTAAAAAAGATAGCTCAAATAATTAAGGATTAGAAATCAGGAACCGTAACATTTTTTATTAACTGAACAGAACCCAACCTTAGATGAAATGGACTGTGCATATTAATTAAGCAATTTTCAAGTTATAAAAACAACACTGATAATGAACATGAGGATTTAAAATTTATGTGATGTGTAGCTACATCAACTTACATACTCAGAAT